CAATATCACTGGCAACTAAGCCTGGGCAAACATAGTGAGCACATAAGATGTAGTAAAGGGATCGGTATGCCATCATTAGCAGGGAGCCCGCACAAACAAACGTTCTTTTCTTCGAAAGAACAGTTATTCGATTCCACCATATTTTACCAATAGTAACACTCTGTGAAGCCCTGGTTTGATTTCCATTTTGTGTCTATCAGTGGGTTTTCATTCGGGGGGTAAAGCAGAGAGAGAGGCCTTGAAAACACCCAAATGAGTTGGCCAGATGTAAGCGGATCGTCCCAAATTGGGCCACCTTTAATGCCAGTGGAGGATCATCCTTCATCAAATTTGCCATAGCAGACCCTGCAAACTTGGCCATCTGATAAACCTTGAAATCTGCATCCTCGAAAAATCCATTTGGGTTAAAGATCGGAAGAAGAATTATTCCTGATCCTTTGTCTCAAGGGTCCATGTATGGTGTATATACCTGGGTACCCTCATGCATCTGTGTATATATCACTATATATATATCACTATATATCACTATATATCACTATATATCACTCTATATATATACACACATATATATATATATGTACACATTATTTATATATATATACATATACATACACACTCACATCAAGTTTGCCAACATTTTCCCCCAAAATGGCCCAGGCATGCAGGACCATGTCGGGATTTTGTAAAAACCCCGCGCCTATTCGTTTAGTCTTCCATGATCCCCCATGAGCCATTTTTTGCTTTCACTCGAAAAAACGATAAGAGGAAAGAAACGAAAAACGATAACGTTGAAAGTTGGTTCTGTGAATGATCTGTGTCCAGACTCTTGAAATCCAATGTTTTTGATTTCCGTCGTTCTGCAGCTATTTAGTGTTTTTGGTTTCTTCATTTCATTGTTTGTCGTCGTAATGGCGTGCCAACAAATGCGTGTCAGATTCTGCACAAGGAAGGTGCCTGGGTAGTCGCTACACTCTTTTTTTGATGATTGCAGCAATTTCCAGAAAAAAGGAACGCACACAGGAATTACGAACGATAACAAAACGATAACGAAAACAATAACTTTTGGTATCAAAAATGGTCCGTGTGAGACACGGTCCTTTGTTCCTTTTCATTCCTCTCCGTTTTCCTTTCCCTTCCTTTACTCTTCCTTTTCCTTTTCCCTTTCCTCGCTCATGTGAATCCTTTGGTGAAGGTGTGAAGCCAGCGCTTGGAAAAACGAATAAAAACGATAAGAGGAAAAAAACGATAACGTGTGAAAAAACCATTTGAAAGGGCTCGGGGTTTTTACAAGACCCAGGCAGCGAGGAGTTGGCCACTCCTTGGTCTTTGATACCAGGTGATGGGCTTGGGGCCGGCCTTGGGGTGCCCAGAAAGCCTGGTAGATCAGTAGATCATAGGATGATGTCAACTGTCCACGTATCATAGGAAAACATGAATCAGTGAACATGGTGAACATGTCCTACTTTGAAACGGTTGTTGGTGGAACAGTGATCCAAGCACGACATGGCCCTTGCAAAGTGCCAACTTCCAGATGCTGGAATTCTTTTGTGGCCCTGATTCCTTAAAATCTTTGAGCTTCACACATGGTCTACATTCCAGAAATCCAGCATTCAACATTTGGGTTTGCCTTTTTTCAGGTGCGCCAGACAAAAATGGACTCTTGGGGAAACTGGGGAAACTGTCAGGGGTTTGGGGAAGGCGCAGAAGCGAAGTACACCAGCTCCTGAGCCTGTCAACCCTGCCAGAGGTACGGGGGTATGCTTCCAGGGCGAAAACATGGGGAAACCATAGAGTTTATACATGATTGTGAAATGATTTTGTCTATTTTACTTGTGGTGATGCTGCCCGCTTGACGAGCCCTTGTTTTTCAGGGAGGTTGAAAACTCCAGTTAGAAATCATTCAGAGCTGGGTATGTTTACATTTCATCCAGTTTCATCCCCCAAAGCCGGGACGATCTTTTAAGTGACTATATATGATATAATTAACTTATATATACGATGTATACATATACATATACTCGTACATATACATATACATATACATATACATATACTCGTACATATACACATACAGATCATACATATACATAGAGTTCAATATTATTATGTCAATTATGTCAATATGTTTCAATACATTTCAACAGGCGCAGCCACTGCGTTTCTGGTCGCGTTCGCCCGTGGCGACGCTGGGGCGGCCGCGGGGAGTCGGGCAGGACGGGATGGGCGCCAGGTGTTTTTGTGCCCCATAGGGAACTGGGAAAATCCACCATTTTTGACAGGTAAATCAACATTAAATCAACTATAAATGGGTCATTTTCAACAACTATTAAATTGGATTATTTTCAATAGCAGACTGTTAGTATCTGTTAGTCATTACCAGAGGGTTTACCGCCCATTTGTCTGGGAATTGCTCAAGAATGACGTACCAGTAGACCACACAAACGGCTGGTCATGTTGAGTAAAGCATCAATTTTAGGCGTCAAGGATTTTGGGCCAGAGCCATGTTGGCTCAACGATGGGGATTGATGCCAACCAATTGATGTGACAAAGTGGTAAACCCAATGACTCTTAACCATCCCCTTTTTGTCTTGAAATGGGTAACCATCCCCAAAATAGTGTTTACATGTGTTTACTATTGGGTGTACACAATTACTTTCAACGAAACAGATGGGGAAGGCTCAAAATGGTATCAACCTAGCCAGAAATGGCTGGTGATTCTTGGTATCAAACTGTCCATGCAAGTCCAACAATTTAAAGAAGTACTCACATCAGAGTGGCCGTTTATGCCCCGCAGGTATATATAATTTAATTTGAGTTCTTGGACAAACCATTGTGGAGTGTTCGAATCGTCAATTGCCCTGCAATTTGCAATCTTGACTGGCAAAGATGAAGTCCAGCATTCTAGCACCATTTCATTGCATCTTTTAATAATGGCTGTTGCAAACTTCCTGGAAACAAACAGTGGACATTATGGACAATTCGCATCTCCAGGACATGTCAAGCCTTGTGGCGTCAACGAGAACATCAGTTGTACTTGTAGCATTGGCTCAACAACTTTCCACAATAATATGGTGTGAATGCTGAAACCATTTTTCTGAGAAAGTCATGGTTCTTTTGATGCAACATTTCTCATTTTTGATTCAGTCGTCCCAGTATCTCAAAGGAAGTTGAATCAGAGTGTCAGAGTGGTTCTCTGACTCCGGTCTTCCCAGAACCCCAAAAAACACATGTTTCAACTCCCAAAGCCCCCATCAGCCATGGCTCGCTGACTATGGGAGATGCCTCGTCAGAGATGACCAGCCTGGTGGCTGTGGCCCGGTGATGAAAATTGTGGATGAAGATGGTAGATGAAGAGATGAACATGGATAAGATAGGTAAGGGATGATAAGACTGGCTTGAACTCAGGTTTCAATTTTTGGATTTCAGCAGCACAAATTAGGATTTTACTGTAAAACATAGAGATTTAAGCATCACACTTGCTTAGTCAAAACCACCGTTGATGGCCATTGAACAGTTGGAGATGTTCTGAACCATGGGGAGGCGAGCCACCAGCCCATACTTTGATAGTCTTTCACGAGAAAATGTGGGAGATGCACCATGAACATTGGGGCGGAAAATGGATGTATATATGACGATGTATAATGATGTATATCAGCCTTAGAAAACATTGGATTTTCCCCATGAATGCGAGGTGAAGCATCAAAATCGCCCCGATGCTGACCGCTGGAGGTGTGCATCTTGGGAGTCCTCACACTGGTGGCGTTCAATTTCCAAAGCGCCGAGCCGAAGATCGACGCTTGGAAGGACTTTGAGGCCTTCGAGGATGAGGACAGCCATGTTATATTCGAACCTTTTCGCGACCTCGGAAAATGATGGGAGATGTAGGGATACTGATATGAATGATATTGTGAAATGATACAGGGGAATCTGTATCATATCCCAATCATAATATTCATAAATGGTATATATATATAGATGTTGGGACACCAATGGATATTGATGATAGAATGATTATACAACATTATGTAGGGGAATCATCCCAAGAATGGTTTACTTCCCGTTTGGGACTTGTAGCACTTTGGCCCAGGAGTGCGCCGGTCATGGTTGCCACGGGGTTGTTGAAATGCTGGCAGTTTTCTGCAAACATCCCACATATTGTAAGCATCACCTCGAATATGTACAAAGTAGCATATAAAATACATGAATTTATTATATATTTATTCATCTACACAATGTACTCTAGCAGTATTATGTGCTTCCCCCAAATCCTGACAAGCGAACCCTGGTAGCTACAAATTGTATAATATGATCTTCCTGCTGAAAGTTGCAGAGCGCCAAAGCCAGAGGTCTTCATTCCATTCGAGATTGCCGATTCGTAAACATTAGACACTCTTTTACTAAATAGTTATATAGTGCTCTCATGATTCTCTTTGATAATACCCTCCAAATGGGTCTAACATTCCACTGGCTCTCATTGCATTTCTCTGATTTTCCCAGCAAAGCGGAAAGCAAGTACAGTTTTTTTAAGCTGCGCATCATGTTTGATGACACCGAAGGATAAATCCCGAATAATCCCGTTGTGCCCTCTGGTAAACATACAAAAAACTATGGAAAATCACCATGTGTAATGGGTACATCAACTATTTCTATGGCCATTTTCAATAGCTACGTTAGTCATTACCAGAGGGTATTAATGTTGTTGAGATTCCATATCTCCCATTATGTACCCATGAAAAATATTCATAGCTCCATTGTATCTCCATGATGATGTCCCCTAGCATGGCTTGTTTGGACACGCGGTACCCCTATTCAAATTCCCTGGTGAATCATCATTGTCCAAAAAGAACACATGCCATAAAATCGGGGGTAAACCACAGTAATTATTTCCACTCTTTTTCCTATTAGAAATACAATTTTGATGGTTAAGCCTCATATTTTCTCTATAGACATGCCATTTTGATGGTTAAGTCATGTTAAGTCCCCCATTTTCAGACACAGCCATGAATGCTCCAAACTTCTGGACGATGAAGGAGCTCGAAGGCCCGGCATTGTCATGGCTGTGGATGCTGCAACTGCTGCAACGGCCATCCGGCGGGAAAAAAAACACCGGTTGGGCCAGGGAGAAGCCACGGCGAAATGGCGGGGTTTTCCAATTGAAGCACCGGCGCTTGTTCTCAGGTGCTGTACCCCCAGAGGTCCCCTCTAACGGGTTTATTTCTGTTTATTTGAGTAGCGCGTAACGCGACACCAATCTCGAAAAAACTCCAGCCATGTTCGGAACATTGACCTTTCATGGATGTTGGCAAAAAATGCCCCCTTTTTCCGCCGGCGACTGAGGATAGTGGTCCTGCTCCTTGCAGTGATCGGCGGACCCCTGGTCATGATTGTCCTTCAGCAACGGAGTATCCTTTACAGGCCTTGAGATGGCAACCTTCGCCAGATCAGTGGGTTGGATCGACCAAGATACAGTACCCCGCCCCCCCCAAAAAAATTGCTGGGCACCTTCAGTAGTTATTTGATTCGAGCATCTACTGCAGTGTACTGCAGTATTCCCAAATTTCCCAGAATCTTGTTGGTGACCAGCAACCTGGCTTTTCAGGGCTTCTTGCATTCTTTTTTCTGGGGTGCCTGTGTGAACATTCTCAGAAGAGATGGCCGAGCGCCATCCCATTTCGACTGACACCGACATGTTTCTGGGTATATCAAAGAGAATTGACAATTAGGTCGCCGTAAACGATGGTTAGTAAGGGGAATCATCCCAGAATTAAAAAGTGTTTTTCTTTTCCCTCTGATTTGGGAATAGTGATTTGCCAGATTTTTGGAATTGACTGGATGGTTTGGGGTGTTGATGATCTGTTGGCCACACGACATGATGAATGGCCACACGCCCGGCTGAACTCGCCAATCTGTCATGGCCTGCGTTCTGCTTTTTGCACTTATTGAAATGAAGGACCATTTATGAAAGGTTAGTGAGAAACTGATATATATAATACATATATATATATATAGATGTCTATACGAGGCTTTACTGAATGATTACAATTGCAACAATGATTCCAGTTGGTGGATAGGGTCAAAATTGAAGACATGTGAATGGCCTGAAGCAACATGTTTGGGGTATTCGTTTGCACATATATAAATATATAATTCTAAGATAAGATATGTTATACAATTATATATAATAATATATTATATTAGATGTCTAATATGTATACAGATAAATTATTGATATTTAGGATATGTTAGTATATCAAAAGATATTACATCCAAGTGTTGGGGTTCCCAAAATTGAGTTCCTGCTGATGCTTCCGGATCTTCGCCCCCCACATCCTGAACTCGCAGGCCCGAAGTGGCTGGAAGGACAGGGTTCGCAACGGGGCGCAACGGCATGAGTTTTGTACCCTGAAAATGGCCATTTGAATAGGGAATAATGATGATAATCCATTGGAATCAGGGGCACCTACTTTTCAGACAAACCCAAATGGCGCATTCTGAATCGCACCAAACTACATCATGCATCATCATACATCATCATGCACTGTACTGTAGCAAGCTTGACACAGCTCAGTCACCCGAGAAAAGCCAGCGCTTCGGCTTTAGCCGTCACCGTCACCGTTGCCGTGGCTGGCCCCAGGAGGATTTCCACTGGACAGAAAGCCAATCCTGTGGCCTGGGGCTTGGACTACGAGAGCTTCTTCTTCACCTCCAGGCTGGGTCTCAGCAGATGGTGGGAACCCAACAGACACATGGAGATACCCTCTGGTTATGTCAAAATAGCTATTGAAAATGGCCATTTATAGTTGATTTACCCACTAAAAATGGTGATTTTCCATAGTTTTTTGTATGTTTACCAGAGGGTAGAACTTCGTTACGAATGTCGCGCTATGTTCATGGTGAAATCTGGAAAAACATCGAGACTTGTGGAGCTTTAAGTACCTCTATTTATTTCACATGGAAGACATCACCACCTCGCATGGTTGAAAGCCTGCAAATAATGGGATTGACCAACTGGTGCAGGATTTCGCAACCATCCACTGTGAGGAACAAATATGGAAGCTTCTATTTTTATATATGGGGGTACCCCATTGATCATCCATTTTAATAGGATTGTGTATCATAAACCATCAATTTTTTGGGAGATTCCCCCATTTTAGGAAACCCCCCATTTTTCGGATCCAATCCAATCGAACTCCAGTGGATCCGACTCGGACCGACTTGACTCGACTTCCGCCCTTCGACTCGCGGCGAGGGATGGCACAAAGTTGCATGCCTGGCTGCTGAGTTCTCGGCCCCTCGGCGCCAGCACCATGTTTTGATGTGCCAAAAAAGATGGAGAAAGGTAGAATATGCTGGTAGAACATCATATAATTATATATATATATATTATATACATATCCTGTACTGAAATTTTGGTTTAAATGACTTGTCTATCTTTTGGGGGGTTACTATGTCTGGGGAAATCTTGAAATCACTGAGTACGATGCTGACAAGATGTGCTGATGTATACTTGCCATCTGCAATACTTGTGATTTGTTTGGAAATACATCGGTTTTATGTTGATTCCTACGTTGTAATGAGCACACACATGAAAACAAAAGAATACACTATTCATTTCATTGTTTTCAAAGTCGAGCAATGAGGACTGTTCGTTCAAATGAACCTGTGTGGACAAGAAATCCTGTTGAAGGTAAATAGTGAAACATCACCAGATCTTGTGATTCGTGCTTAGGGTACTCTCTTCTTGCCCGTTTGCAATGCCCCCCACACAACGACAGGCCTGTCCTACTACTGTAATTAAATGAGATTGGCAAACTTTCACACTTTCACAAACACCCCCCCCATCTTGCTAGGGTTATAACCCCAGTAACTTTCACACTTTCAACCCCGCCTGTTGCTTGGGTTATAACATGATATAACATGTTATAACCCCAGTTTAACATGTTATAACTGTTATGTATAACCCGCTTTTTTCTTGGGAATACGTATATAGGGGCAATGTCCACTTACCGATTTTTCGGGTTATCACCCTCTCTGTGACAGGAAAGAGGTGGAGGTGAAGAAGCCGGCCATTCTCTTCTTCCATTCCAATGCAGGTGGAAAAGCCTGGGGATTTTTTTCGGACTTAAAAAAAGGGTCTGTTTCAGAATCATATATATAGTGTATAATAGTATAATAGTATATAATAGTGTATAATAGTATAATAGTATATAATAGTATAATAGTATATAATAGTGTATAATAGTATATAATAGTATATAATAGTATATAATAGTAAATAATAGTATATAATAGTATATAATAGTATATAATAGTATATAATAGTATATAATAGTATATAATAGTATATAATAGTATATAATAGTATTTAATAGTATATAATAGTATATAATAGTATATAATAGTATATAATAGTATATACTAGTATATAATAGTATATAATAGTATATCATAGTATATAATAGTATATAATAGTATATAATAGTATATAATAGTGTATAATGGTGTATAATAGTATATAATAGTATATAATAGTATATAATATTATTTAATAGTATATAATAGTATATAATAGTACATAGTAGTATATAATATTATATAATATTATATAATAGTATATAATAGTATATAATAGTATATAATAGTATATAATAGTATAATAGTATATAATAGTGTATAATAGTATATAATAGTATAATAGTATTATAGTATATAATATTATATAATATTATATAATAGTATATAATAGTATATAATAGTATATAATAGTATAATAGTATATAATAGTATATAATAGTGTATAATAGTATAATAGTATATAATAGTATAATAGTATATAGTAGTATATATATTTATTTTGATTATCAATAATAGGGTATATTGTCAATATCAATAATAGGGTATATTATCATTATTATAATAGTACTATTATCAATAATAGGGTCTATAATAGTAGTATCCTATTATTTGGGGATAACCAATTTGTAGACCTATGTTGATGATAATCCAAGAAATAAACGGATTGGTCTAAGAGACTACAGTAATACCCAAATCCAGATATACAATCAATATTCCACTATTGGCTGCCAATTTTTGTTGACTACAATAATCCAAGAACGGGGAATCCCAAACTAAACCAACCAGAAAAACTCATGGTTCATGATACAGGGATTTATTTCACACTGCTCAATTGTAGGGGTTATTCCCAACTCATGGGGGGGTTATAACATGCGACAAAACCATGATTGATGATACAAACAATCACCTCAGTTGGGGTTATATCCCAACAGAAAGGGGGTTTAGAACCATACTATGGTAAAAAGCAACCTCAACTGCACCTTGAAGTAGGGGTTTCTGGTAAAACTTCCCATCATCTACCCTCTGGTAAATTAACATAACTATGGAACATCACCATGTTTAATGGGTAAATTAACTATTTCTATGGTCATTTTCAATAGCAAACTGTTAAATTACCAGAGGGTATGGAATTTGATCCACTGGTCGCAGGCGACATTCCCCAGCGCTTGGACTTCTTCAGCCGCATGTGTCGACAGTTGAACGTGCCTTGGCAGTGGCGCCCCTGAAACCACGGAACTCCAAGAAAATGGCCACTCGGGATGTGAATGTATCCACAGTATCAATACCTAACCTGCCAGAAAACCAATTTGATATGAACAAGACACAACTGGATGATACTGTATGTATCATTACATATTTATTTTCCGTTTGGCTATGTTTAATCATGTTTAATCCCCCTTCTTGTTGGGTAAGATGGGTAAGATCTCCACGAAGTTTTCGAGTGCTTGAGACATTGTTAAACCACCATGTGGGTTTGTTTGAAAATAGAGTCCTGTACCCCATCCAGTGGTTTATCATCATGTCTCCTCTATATGATTTTGACCAGAATAAATACCGCCCCATTTTCAGACATCCAAATATCGTATGGTTGAATAGTTACTATCCCATTGTAGCCCATGGTGTTCTGTAAAGTTATATATTAAATTATATCCCATGATATCCAGTTAGACTTCACTATACTTGTGTAATGTATATATATATATATACATACATACATATACGTATATATCTATATATAATGGGTGTGTGTGTGATGTCATGGCTAGGTGTATACTTATACACATAATACACACACACACACTATATATATATATATATATTACATACACATTTTGTGTCACCCGCTGACAGGTGGTGATTTTGGCCATGGAGTACCGTGGCTTCGGTCGATCCGACGATGCGGAGATCTCGGAAGAATCCATGGCGACCGTGGCAGCGATAGTGGGAAATCCCCTATCAATGAAGGTCTTAATGGGGAAATGATGAATAATGATGGTTAACGATGGTTAATGATGGGTATATAACTATGATAGAGGAACATCCCCTATAAATGGAAATCATTTTTGGAAAAATGATGGTGAACAATGGTTATACTATATGGGTAGAAAAAATAATAGATGAAGAACGCACAACTGGAATTAATGTGGCAATGCCACAAACCTACCATTTGGGAATGAGTTTGACCACCTATTTATCATTTTATAATGATGTCAGGTATGGTTTATCATTGGGTTTACCACATTATGGGATCCGGGTCTGTCTGAAAATTCGGAATAGCTCAACACTTGCTATTTTTCTAGGGAAAATGCTGAAAAACCAGAGGATACCAACTCATATAAGCAACAAAATAGGGATGAATGGTGGACACATGGGGATTTATAACCAACAACAATAGGGATATTAATTATTATGAGATATCATGGGATAGACAAGCAAGAGTACCCTGTTTTCAGACATACCCACAATTTGGACTTTACCTGCGTACAAGAGTTTTTGATTCATAGCCAGCCGATGGTTTTCCATCCTTACCTTGGATTCTCATGCCTCTCAAAGACTTACATTTTTACTTTCTTTTTCAGAGGGGCGATACTATAATATTGCTTGTTTATTAGGCGCTATATTTTCCGTCGGTCTTTTGGAAAATGAAGCCATTCGACACATATGTTCAGGGAAGTATTCCGAGTGGCACGGGCCAAGCATTGTGAACGATGCTTGGGTGTCAGGCATGCAACATCATGGCCGACACCAGTTTCTTCTCGTTCTATAGATATACCATATGTTCCTAATATTTTCCTACATTTGGAATCAATCATGAGGGCCATTGTTTGGCGCACATCTTGATACATCTACCAGGCATGGAGCATTGTGTTCTTGCAGCCTGGCTCAAGATGGGCCCTTTGGCTTGGCCATGGCGAGTCCCATGGCTTTCGAGGCGCCCGGCACGGTGCCGGGCTATGCGGACAAGGTCAGCGCGCGACTCTTGGCCAATGACATGGCGTCACTGATGGAGTGGACTCATCTGCGCGAGAGCTCGGTCACAGAGCACATTGATCAGATCTTTGCCATGGCGGCAATGGAAGACACTGCAGGTGAAATCAGGGCGGTCTCCAGTCATTTTGAATGTGGAGAGTTATGGTTCATTGAACTTGATGAGACGATAAGTGTATCTCTGTGTAATCGAATCATATCTCCAGCTCTAAAGGTACATGTTGTGAATGTGTGTTCTATTTTTTGACAAGAACACTCAGGAACACTTTCATACTTTCTTTGACCCAGAATTTTAGACACATTTTTCTAGACTTCTTCCCTTCTGAAATTTAACTTCATGCTGGTCCCAACAGGGGTTTGTTGAACGCTGTAGGGAGGGCATCGATGGTGCAGAATGCCATAGAGGAGCAAGAGAAGTTCCTGAAAGAGAAACGGGCGCGAAAGAGTGTGACTTTTCCAGAGAGGATGGGAGAAGTTGATCCGCGTAAACTGTAGGAATTCAATGGAACTCATAGGTTAAACCCCGGTTAAACCCCTCTACTTGGGGTGAGTTTACCAAGTTGTATGTTTAGAGAAACCACTGAGATGTGTTTTTACTTTCTTTTAACATCTTTTAACCCTCTACGATGCTGTGTGCCACCTTCTTGGAACTGGATTGGAAAAATCATTCGCCGGAAGCAGGAAACGTTGTTTGTTGATGTTTTTTGGAGGTTAAACACCAGGGCTTCCGCCTGGAGGAATTTCCCTTAAAGCGATCCAGTGAAACTCCATCTTTCATCTGCTGATATTTGGTTGGTGGCTTCATTTCTTGTTGGTTTTCCCCCGAATTTTGTTGGAGACCCCCAAAAAGAATCAAAAAGAAATACCCTCTGGTAAATTAACACTTGGACCCTGAAAATCATTGAAAATCACCCATTTATGGTGGAAACTAGTCTTCCAACCCCTATCTGGCAGGGTCGATGTTAATTTACTGGAGGGTAGATCCAGTACTAAACCATACTAAACCAGTGTTCTAGAGGGCTATTCTTCAGGGAGAATTCCCATGAGATTTTAGGGATGACCATCCAAGAGAATTGGCACTCAACGCATTTGCCCAGGCCATGCATCACGAAAAGGCTATGGTTTGTTTGTCATTTGATGAATATACACGTGTTTGGAAAGATAGGCTATGGTGAAAGGTGTCCGAATCTTTATTTCGGAGACTTCCAGCGTTGCTCTGTTATCCACTTTTATTGTTCTCAAATAAAGTATAATAAAGTAATGTAATGTGGTTAAAACAATAATAACACACCCATTTGGAATGGTGAAAACAAAACCTATTTATGGTGGTTCGAGGGACAGTTTATTATTATTGTTTTATCCACATTTATCGTATTTTTTCCCCCTACTCTTGTCCAGATTCTCTCCCAAGACGACTGACTCCAAAGGTGGGTATTGCCACCAAGCTGCCTTCCGTTTTCTGAGTTGCTGGTTCACCTCTACATTGGTTGTTTTGAATTTCAGTTTTCACTGGTAAAAGTCTGGTTGTTGTTGGGTTGTTGAGTTGAAATCGCAAAACAACATGAATTGAACCTCTCCCATTTTTCCGTACTTTTTCCCAAGTTGTTCTCCTCCAAAAACGTTGGACTTCCGGCCGGCTTCCCCCCACCGCCCCGCCCGAGCTTCAAGGTGAAGCTGGTCCGTGCGGCCCAGAAGGCCTTGGAGGTGGCGCGCAAGAACAATGGCGGCTACAACAAGGCGAAGGCCTTAGCCGCTGCTGCCTTCGTGGAAGTCTCGGAACTGAAGACCAAGTGGAGCTTAGTGCAGACCTTTCAGCAGAAACAGGAGATGGGATGGTGGGATGATGGCCACCAGGGATGGCATGGTGAAATTTTGGATGCAACATGTGAAGGAAAAAAACATTATTCATGATTCTATGTGCATATTTATTTGGCTGATAGTTAGAAACTATCAGCAACAGGAGCTGGTGTTACATAGGATCATGGATGCTGGAAGATAGTTGATGTACAGTGCAGTATGTGATTTTATATTTATTTATGTTTTGTTGGATAAGTCTGAGATGATATTTTTCCCAGCATGCCAGCAGGTGTGTCATTTTAGTGTTTATTGAAACAGATAATTTTGGACCTGGAAGGGTGATAGGTGCTGCATGCTGATGATGTTGCTAGATATTGAATTTGAAGTAGACTAGGCGTAGCTTAAAAGTTTGAAGATAGCTCCTGAATATTACAATCGCATTACAACCAGTTGCAAATCCTTATGGTACATGGCTTTCTTGTTTTCCCATGGTCCTGATTTCAGATCATGTTGGTTTGCCTCTTCCGCAATGACTTCGATTAAAAAGAACATGTTCGAACCTCCCTAACGTCCTGATGTCGTGCGACAGGATGCCTTGAGGTTTATTTTCCAATGTCAAGCTTTCGAGTACCGGCCGAGTGGCCATGACGATTTCCCGCGCTTTCAAAACAGCAAGGACTGGGATCACACGGGGCTGTCCCCGCACAGGGTGTCAAAATTCTTGGGACCTTAGTATCATATTCTTGTTGGTTCAATGCATTTCAACGCCCATGTTTGATCGTCATGTCAAATCCAAATCTTGCTGGGCTTTAGGGTCTATTTTTGAAAGTAAATCCCCATTTGTGTTGGTTCAATCCGAGTATCAGTATATTGCCCAAATCCAACTTTTAGTTGGTCTGAATCTTCATTTCTAATTTGTCAAACTAAAGTTGAATTTCACTTTTTTTTCGCCTGGGTCACGTGACATCTCCATTTTCCCCCTGTTTTTGCATTCTCAATCGCCATTTTCCATTCATCAACTATCATCAACTCCATGTTTAGCTCAGTTGAACCACCTTTGAACCCCCCACATTTTCCCATCGCACCATAGGCCCCTGGGTAGGACGCCATCGCCTACGTTCTGGCGCTGGACCCTGCGCCCGAGGAGTTCGTCTGCGTCGAGCCGCTGATGAAGCGACGGCTACGGCTGCGCCAGGCCGCGCCGAAGGAAACCAAGGAGACGGTGGCGCAGCAACGTGCCTTGGACCTTGGGAAAAGTCAGGTGGGGTGGGAGCCCCTGTGTTGGGTGACAAGTCCCATAGAACTAGATGAACTATAGATATATAATGATATATATATATATAATGATATATAATATAATGATATATAGCATAAAGCCTAAGGATTGGAGTTATAAAGCAACTTAGCCAATCTTGGCAGGTAGTCGTGATAGCCTATCCCCAGTTATGGGTAAGTCTCATGAAATTTCCCATTGGGATCCTTATCAGATCCTATTCTAGCACAATTTTTGGTGGTTGAATCACCAGTTTGGTTGGGTTATATCAGTCATACTCCACCCATCAACTAGATATAGTTTTAAAAATCCATAAAACATAAACCAACTTAGCTAACTATGGGGCACCACCTTGAACAAGTGGTGATACAAGTATATTATGGTACGTATATTAAATATTATTAAACAACGGCTGGAATCTGGGGAACCCAGTTTCGCATTTTTCTTCAACCATTTGGGTCTGTCCAAACATGGGAAAGGATGATAGTGATGATAGTGATGGGAGCTGGTCGGTAATGGTGGGTATGGGGGTAAATGATGAATCAGTGTGTGGATCACATCATTATTTCGCCCAAATTCTGGGGCACATGTTGATTTTGGCCATACCTTAAACCATCTTAAACCACTGATCCTAAGGTCGCCTTGGAACAACAATAAAACGCCGTTGGACTTTTGGGAACCTGGGTTTCCCCATCCCCTCCCAGGTGCCAAGGCCACCCAACGCATCCTCATCGGCCACGCCCGGCGCCCAGCGGGTGAGGAGGACCGTCCGTGGCTCGTGGAGGCGGCCGGCGACATCTTCGCCACGCCGCCGCTGCGGAGCTTGTCGGAGAAGACGGCGCAAAGGCGCTGCTTGGGGGGAATTTGGGGAATTTGGTGGAAAATTGTAGGGGGAAATCATGGAAAATCAGATGATTGATTTAATTATTTATTATGATTGTTATAATTTTCCACATGATTTCATTTGTATATAATTGATTATAATTTTAATTGTATGCCCCGATTTCGCACAGGCCCATATGGTGAATAATGGCAGGGCCCACTTTGCAGCATCATTTTTTTTGGGGGGTTAGGAATGGGATCTGGGTGAATAACCATGGGGTTTTCTTTAACTTCCGTTTTCCAGTAAGAGAACCAGTAGAATAGATTCGATCTTTCTGGAGCTGAAATGGCTGAATTCGAGCTCGCAAAGAGTTCACCTTCATTGGTGAGCAGGAAATTGTGTAGTTTATAGAGTGATTATTGAATATACTATTGACGAATATGTGACGAATATAATTCTGGAGTTGGAGGATGGCCATTTTTCGTGATTGGAAGATGTTCGAGGCAAACATGAGGTCCAATTCCATGGTTTTGGAGAGACTTTCCGGGGCTTGAACGGAGCCATGTTCTGCTGAAGATCAAAGCATCCTCCAAGACGTCAACGGATGTGTCTGAAAAGGGGCTTAAGTGTATTTCAAATGGTTCTTTTTGGGATCCACCCATTTTAAGATATTTTAAGAACCCCCCAAAAAAAGGCTATCCCAGCACCATGGAGTCATATGGCGCCATAGCTCAAAAAAGCGATACCCCTGGATCTGGAAACAGAGCATGCCAATTTTGGGGAGTATTCATCTGGTTACCCATACCATCTTTTAAAGTGTGTTTAAAGTGTGTTTAACCATAATCCATCAGAATCATAATCATTCATAATCCAACTATTATTTTTTTTGGCTTTATCATGGTTTGTACATGTTTGTACTATTTGTACTATGAAAATTGTGTATGATTCTCTGCCAGAGTACAGCACATTTGCATGTCACCATCGCAACTGATGGGGATGCCGAGGTACTACATCGCCATCCCTCCGGAAGTGGAAAAAAAGGTGCTCACCGAAGGCGATCGTTGACTGGGTCATGGCCATGACTATTGGATGCCATTAGAACATCACGAATTAGTGGTGACACCGTGGTGAATCATCACTTTCCCCATGAGTCTAGCATAATTTATCCAATCTAAAGATATCTAAAGCAGAATCCATCCATAAACCAGTCATCCAGCCTTTTTTGGGGAGTTTTGGGCCTTTTTGCAGACCCACCCAAGCACCAAGCACCTGCGGGCCAGGCTACCACCCCACGAAGCGCAGCTCGGTGCCCGTCTCGGCGTCGCCCGCGCAGGCGCTGGCGGCGTATCTGAAGGTTTTGCGCCGCAGCAAGGAGGAGCGGGCTGAGGTGGGATCTGGGGTGATCTGGGGATGTTCTGATGGGGATTTCTATGGAGAGTTCTGGATGATCGCTGGAATCTATGATAAGAATGATAAGCCATAGAATTCTCCAAGATCACCAGATTCATACGAGGACCATCCCAAGGATCGTAAGTGGTTAGCAACTGGGCTTAGTTCACCGATTTCGATTTGTGGGATAATCCACGAAGAAAGGGAACTGGGATTCCATGGATTATTCCATGGATGATTTCATGTTCTCCAGGGGTCTTGGCACAGATTCTCTGGATTGGAAGCAATTCCAATGGTCCAATGGTTGGAACATGGGAATCTGTTGGGGGTTGTGGTTACTGAAATGCGGATCCGAGATCCACTAGGTTGATATCCCCAGAATTCAGTCCTGGTCCTGAAAGCCTCAAGTGATGGTTTGTTGGTTAATGGGGATGTACTGTACCAGTTGGGGATAGTCTGTGAAGATATTCTATGGGCATTTTGTTGGGGATATTTTGTTGTTGGGATATAATAGGGGGCTACATATGGGCTACAATCGCAGTGGCTGCGAGAGACCCCTGTTGGCTGCATAGTGTATACCATTCCTGGTTAGTGCTTTGGAAGATTTATTCGTGTCCATCCAATTTGCATCTAGTTGGCATGATAATCCTAAATGACGACGAATAGATTTTAATTATGATATTTTATGGGATATGATGCGGACATAATGGGGATAGCATGATATTATGGGCATCAATATAGCCAACAATGTGAGCAGCAGATACAAAGGTTAGCTACTTGGGATTCAACCGTTGCTTACATCGGGTTTTGCAGTATTGCAAATATGGGTATAAGTTTGATGAATGCTTGTTTGTTGATGATTCTGAGGGGGGTCATACTATCCAAAACATATGCAAAAGTAAGGTAAAACTAAATCAAACTGGAATAAATAGCGGGGTACCATTTCAGATTCAACATGAATAGTTGAACATCTTAACATGGAGCAAACATGACCAAAGCGTATTCTTCTCGATGATCAAAAAAAGATGACAATTTGTGTGCGAAAACCGGTGGACCAGGCTTTTGATCCGCAGCCAAAATTGACCAAATCTGTTGGTAGGTAGCCCATGTTTAACCCAGACTCCCGTGTAGGAAAATCTTGGATTACACTAAGAATACATTGAGCGTTTTAACAACACATCGCAACACAAGAATGGGCAGACATTGCGGACAAGTAGGAAATCATCCGTTTTTGTAATTGCAAAGAAATGGTTTGCAGGCAGATTCATCGGAGATTAGTGGGCTCCCAGTTCTTATGGTTTTCGCCATCTATGATCTTCACCGACAGGTGGACAAGAAGAGAAAAGAGAATCAAAGCCAGAGCGAAGACAGTCTCTTGAGCCCATGATACCGGGAGACCGGATTCTATGCCTCGTGAATGATGTGAATGGGACAAAATAAATGAACATAAAGATTCAGCAATCAATTTTGGGGTGAAGGCTATGGCTCAAGAATGGTCGTACAAATGGACCCATCGACTTGCTCATTTAGATATTCTTAGTCGAATTAGTAGTGCTTTAGTGTTGAACCTTTGTGGTCAGGATTTTGACCCCAACCAAAACTACGGAGCAAATTGTAGTGACTGCATTGGCTGACCAGCTATCACCAATAGAACCTGAAAATTTGGCTTCACCAACTTAGATTCACCTGAAGAGTTTTCTGACAATGCATGAACTACATCCAAATCGTTCATCAATTCTACATGTTTTTTTTTTTTTTCTGTAGTTTGCACTGTTTGCACATGACTAAATGACTATATATTATCATTTTGTTGGTAGTAACCCATTATATATACGCATATATATATATATAGCCACATGATATTCTCGTTCCCCGTCCCAAATGGTTGATAATCATCCCCCATTTCTGGCAGCCAAATCACGTGAATTAGATGCCCTGTACAAACCCAGAAATTATCCCCGGTTTTTGTTAATTGAATGTGGTCATATCATCACCGTAACTCAACAAAAACAACTCGCCGCAACTCGCCACGTCTGGACAAAGCCTATAATTACAAAATGATCAAAATGTAATCAGCTAAATTCCGCATCCATCGGATGGATGATTCTCACTTGAGGCAAGTTTTGATCATGTTGATTAGATTGGATCAGAATACAAGGTGCCCCTCAGTTGTAAATTGGTTTCTAAACCCATGTAACTATAGATGTGTCCACCACAAATCCAGTTGCAAACCAATTTCCTGATTGTGAAGCCACTATCAATCCACCAGATTGGTGGCTAAATCCATCTAACTTCCATTTTTTTTGCATATTTTTCATGGTTTTCCCCACCTTTTTCTTTAAACAAATAGGTGCTGGGGAACCCACTCCACAAGGTGGTGCCTCCTAGATAGCTAAGTTGGTTTATAACTCCAATAACTATGGTTTATAGGTGATATATCTATAGTTAATGGGATTATAAACCAACTTATAACTGGGGGGCACCACCTTGCACCCAAGGCTTGGACGATCGCCTGTGGGACCTCTGGGAATGGACCTCGGCGCACGAGCTCTTCCCCGTCCTCAGCGAGGACCAGCGCGGCGTGCGCGCGGCGGTGCTCGGCGTTCAGGTGCCTCCAGAGATGATGATGGATGTGGTGACGCACCCGCAGGGGGGAACCTCAGCAGCTTTTTAGAAGATGAAACACACACACATACATACATAATATATATATACATAATATATATATATACATAATATATATATATACATAATATATATATATAGTTATATATATAGTTATATATATACACTACTGTATATATATATATATATGTACATAGATTAATGTTCATTCATGTGTTTTTTTAATCAAACAAGTAAGGTTTAACGTGTTTCATATTTGGTTGCTTTTTCAGCACCAAATATGGCGTCTGAACATTTTTTTAAATGTGACTGTTGGAATATATGTTCTATGGTAGATGAACATATCAACAGTGAGATGTCTAATTTTTCTACAATATGTTCTATGGTAGATAACACAGGTTTGTCTACTGTAGGTAAAAACGGTAAACACCATGGTTTCCTGCAAACTTTCCAAGATCTCCAACCATGCATAAGCAGAGTCAAAGACTTTTGCTGCCCAGGATTTCTGATCCGCACCAAGGGTCAAGCGCTCCCCGGCAGCTGCTTCTCGCGGGTGAAACGCAGCGACGCACCCTGAAGGGGTGAAGCAAAAAGGATATCCATGTGCGGCGGCGGAGGGCATTGGATTAACTTTCAATCGTATGATTTTGTTGTTTCCCATTTCTTGAACTGGAATGATGACCCATAAGTTAGTCTCTTCTTTTCAACGAGGGTTGTTAACCACCAATCAGAATTGAATTGAGTTTTTTTTTGGCAGGAAATCATTGATGTTTTACCATCTAAATCCGTTCTTTCTCGATTCCTAGGAAGGATGTCTTGAGTTGTTCTTCGCAAAGATAGTGAGAGATATCCAAGCCATGTTCATTGCCTGTGGTTCCTTCCTCGCGTAAGCTCCGACAACAAGAATAGCCACAACATTGGGCTTGTCCAGCGGGGGATCCCCCATTCTATGGCCATTGGAAGGCGAAACAATTGATGATCAAACCCCAAAGAAGTACCTCTACTTAGGCAGGATCCCCAAACAGATGTGGGTTTTCTTGGATCACCACTTTGCGAAAAGTAGGGTAACATTGGTGAAGCCAAAGTGACAAAGACGTCTTTTTTTTTTGGCGGGACTGCTCTCTGCGATGCCCGGACCCGAAAGTCACTACTTTCCAGAAATCAACCCCTACCCTCTTGTAAACATACCTGGTAGAGATTCCCCAGTGTTCCATAAAAAGTTGAATAATTGGATAGATGTATAAATACAAATAAATATGCAACAATATGTATATCTATATCAATACATAATATATATATATATATGTGATATCATCTACATTGATCTACAAATAGTGCGCTTTTCTGTTTTTCTGTTGCCAAGGTTAGATAACTGGGGATGAAAAGTGTACGCGGCTTCTCAGGTGGAAGATGCATCCTGTGCCTACCAATGGCTGGTCAACTATGCTGTTGTGGACCGGGCGGGAGAGAGCAGTCCATGCGTAGAACATATATATATATAATATATTATATATATATAATATAATATATATATGTATTTATATGTATATATATATATACACAAGGTGGGGCCCCGCTAGATAGCAAACTTGACTTATAACTTCAGTAACTAGGGTTTATGGGGAATATAGCTGATATATCTGATACAACTATAGTTAATGGGGTTGATAAACCAACAAACACAACTGGCGGGGCGGCGGGGCGCACCTTGTATATATCTTGCTTGATTGTGATCCCTGCAACACCCAACCAGTGACAGCACCAGTTGCTCAATGGCCAGTCTTTGGAGTATCCCCTGGCCATTGAGACAAATCCACATCATATTTAGCCTTATGTCATTTTCCAGCTAAGATGACCATAAATTGGGAGTTACTATAGCCATATCATCCCATGACATCCACACGAACACGGTAGGAAACCCACAACCATCAACTTCATGGGTTTCCCAACTTTTGTGTCATAGATCATGGTTGGCTTCCCCAGGTTTCAGCTGGCAGGACTCCTCTCAAGTGGATCCGGAGCAGATCTACGTCTTCGGGCGCTCCTTGGGGGGCTGCGTCACAGCCCCTTGGATCCGAAATCCGAAGGCCTTGAGCGACACGGAGATAGCAGGGATAACATGGGGATATCAGGCAGCAGAGTTATGGGAGACAAACGGGAAAAATATGGGATGTAAAAGCAGCATGATTCAATGATAATGATTCCAATATATTCCAATGATGATATGAGATGATATGAGTCTGTCTCTGGAGGATGGGACGCCTATTGATAAACCTGTTTGCTATGTGATGCTGTGATAGAGACCAATTTTAACGGAGGTTTTGTCACAGACATCACACTGTGGATCATGAAAACACACACTTCACCATCATGTAGAGCAGGGATTTCGCAGCGAAGTCGCGTAGCCACTGATTCAGGTATTGGAACTAGTTGTGATCCAAATATTTGGGGACATCGACGTTGCAGACTCTTATTCTTATACACCTTCCAAGCGTGGCCCTTGGAAACCCGCATCGTTCTTAGGGTTTCCACCAGCTTTGTGCTTGCATGCTCCGTAAACAACCTTAGTCCATCAATAAATTATGGTACATACTGTTTACATACTGCATGATTTAAATCCTCGCTGAGCAACTTGGTCCAAGTTTCTAAGTGAGGATAACTTGGTTGTATCACTTATTTATTAGTAGATATTTGAAGTATATAGACGTTATATATATATATAATTATATATATACAATATAAAATTGTATCGATCTATATGTATATGTGTGTATACATATATATATATACTGTATATCATATCTTTCTCATCGCTACCTCCCAACTCTGACATCCCAGGTGCGCCTTGTGTCATGGCTGCTGGGCGTGGACGGCTCCGCCAGGTCTCCGCCGACGGAGACGGAGACGTCGTCGACATCGTCGACGTCGTCGAAGCTGCCGCTGCCTGCAGGCGTTTGGGTCGGTTTCATGGGGATTTCATGGGGATTTCATGGGGATTTATATCATCTTTATATGGGATGATAGTTTTTAATGATATTGATATAGATCCTTTTTTTTTGGGTTGATGAATTTATGGTGGATCTTTTCATTATTCTGATGTCTTACGTTTTGTCTCACATTCTGACATTTTATAAGGTGTTCTTTCTGGCAGTTGATCTGGCATTCTATCCGACATTTTATTTCACATTCCATCTGCCACTATATGTAGCACTTAGTTGGCATTCTATCTGAAAAAAAATATCACATCAAACATCCAACATTGATTTCAGTAGTTCCCCACTATTTTGGTGACTCTCTTTGTATGTTTGGTGACCTCCTTTGCTTTGTACGAACTAGGCCCTTCCCCATGGATAAGCATAACACCACCCTCAGGGTTTATTGCGATCGCGGCATGATTTGAATCCATCTAAATTTAGTAAGCACAAGCTTTAAGATCTTTAAGCACGATGTTTGTAGGTCATTTGTACCCATATTTGATGGATCCAAACGAAAAGAATGAGTTTGTCTGAACATGGATGAACATGGGATGGGGTACCTCAACAAAATCATTTTTTTTCAATGGTATACACCATTTTCATGGCCACCCAGATCATATCGTTTCATCTACTTATATATTATATTATATATAATAGCAATATAATCTTATATCCATCCATATCCACATATTATTCCCATAGTATCCCATACTACATTCCCGTGAAGTAGAGATGAATTTATATTGTTGTTTCACACGACCATCTCCAGGAGAAGTTGGATTTCAATCAATGTGAGCCATGAAAGTGCCCTGTTGATTGGTTATGAAATCAAGGATTATACTAGCTGTTTTGATGAGGATTGTGAACTAAACTGGGCCATAGGATAGTGAACTCTAGCAGGATTTCATGAGATGGGAAAGCAGGGAGCGGCAGGCATTGTACTGGAGAACTCCCCCAACTGCATCGCAGATGTGGCCACACACATGCTGCCCTTCCTGAGGCTGGGCCATTGTGATCTAAGCCACGAAAACGCGAAGAAAGTCGAAGTTCAGCAACAGAAATCAGTCAGACCAGAAAGCCATCAGAAAGCCAATCGTGACCTAGTGGCCCTGTGAGCAAAATCATCAGAAACCCTGGTGCAATGTGAGTAAAATCGACCAAAAAAGTCCAGATTTTTCCCCCAGTTCCCAGGTTGGTTCCCCGCAGTCTCCTCACCTGGCCCCTGCTCTTGGACGAGTGGCGCAGCAGCGATTGGCTGGACTGGCACCTTGGCAGCTGAGCCAGGGCTAGCTGTAAACTAACCAGGAGATGTGGGAAAAACCCATGGAAAAAACACCAGTTGTAGATCAGTTTCCAAGAAAAACCATGGGTTTTCCACCTCTATATTAGTTTAACCCAGGGTTTTTATGTCTTATAATTCTTCACGTCACACAACAATAAACAAAATATTTCATCTCCGACCGAGACTTTTCTATGTTCAAAATTCCCCAGGACATTTACTGTACCAACCCTTGGAGCGAGCAGTGGGAGCCATCAAAGAGGCCAAACATATTCTGCACGAATTATAATGACCTCATTGTGACGTCAATGGAATGCTGGGATTTGGATTTGGGGAATCATCCCCAAATGGCTGCAGTGTTCAGCTATGTTCAGGTTTGTGAACTATTCTGATTCAGCCAGAAATGTCGGAGATGTCCGAAAACATGTAGCCCCCATGATGATTTTTCATTGGAGTTTATATTCACAAATGTATGGTGCTTGGGTTTACTACACTTTACTCCGGATGAGGCACATACCTCTCAACCAAGTCTTGTAAGGGTAAAACAATAAGTACGCCCATCCTCCTATGAAAGAATCCCATTATATGGTCTCAAATACGTGGTTTCATCCCCCTACATCAATCTGACCCACATGAAGTCCATGGCGTTGGCGGATGCCGGTCTAAGGATTGGCCAAGTGCTGTCTCTTGGCACAGTTTTCATGACAGGTTTTTCCGTTGCAGCCAGAGTAAACTAACATAGGTGTGGAAAAACCATGGTTTCCCTCGGAATACGATCTGCAAATAACAAGTTTTCCACATCGAACTGTTCGTTTACAGAGGGTCAATTTCAAGCCTTCTTCGGTGCGGTTCAGGGTTCGTCTGTGCACGTCAAAAGTGGGTCGTTTGTGCACGTCAGACGGTTGGTCGTCTGTGCACGTTTTTGTTGTGTGTTTTTGTCATTGTATCTCTGTAACATGATTCTTCTTCTAGCTTTTTTTTAAACATCTCAAGAGCTGCTTTCGTGTGCCATTTGGTGGAGCTGCTTTCGTGTTCTCTCACTGAAGTTCACCCAAGTTCTTTCACAGAACTCATCTCACAACTCACACAACTCATCTCACACAACTCCACTCATCTCACAACTCACAGAACTCACAGCCTCTCATCTCACAAGTCACACAACTCATCTCACACAACTCATCTCTCACAACTCATCTTACACAACTCAACTCACTCAAGAGCTGCTTTCGTGTGCCATTTGGTGGAGCTGGTTTCGTGTTCTCTCACTGAAGTTCACCCAAGTTCTTTCACACAACTCATCTCACAACTCACACAACTCATCTCACACAACTCCACTCATCTCACAACTCACAGAACTCATCTCACACCACTCCGCTCATCTTACAACTCACACTACTCCTCTCATCTCACAAGTCACACAGCTCATCTCACACAACTCATCTCTCACAACTCATCTTACACAACTCAACTCACTCACGAGCTGCTTTCGTGTGCCATTTGGTGGAGCTGCTTTCGTGTTCTCTCACTGAAGTTCACCCAAGTTCTTTCACAGAACTCATCTCACAACTCACACAACTCATCCCACACAACTCCTCTCATCTCACAAGTCACAGAACTCGTCTCACACCACTCCACTCATCTCACAACTCACACTACTCGTCTCATCTCACAAGTCACACAACTCATCTCACGCAACTCATCTCTCACAACTCATCTTACACAACTCAACTCACTCAAGAGCTGCTTTCGTCTGCCATTTGGTGGAGCTGGTTTCGTGTTCTCTCACTGAAGTTCACCCAAGTTCTGTCACACAATTCATCTCACATGAAAGAGCAGTGCGAGGAAATGCTCTACAGCAAGAAAGATGATGAGGTTGCTGTGCGTGTGCAGGCATAGGAACATGAACCTTATTAACTCACCCCACCCCACCGGTAACTCATCATGAAAGAGCTGTGCCTGTCTCTGCTCTACGGGAAGAAAGATGATGAGGTTGCTGTGCCTGTGTGTGCATAGGAACATGAACGTTATCATCCCACCCCACCCCACCCCACCCCCACCCACCCCAAGGGTAACTGATCATGAAAGAGCAGTGCGTGTAAGTGCTCTACAGCAAGAAAGATGATGAGGTGGCTGTGCGTCTGTATGCATAGGAACATGAACCTTATTAACTCACCCCACCCCACCGGTAACTGATCATGAAAGAGCTGTGCCTGTCTCTGCTCTACGGGAAGAAAGATGATGAGGTTGCTGTGCCTGTGTGTGCATAGGAACATGAACGTTATCATCCCACCCCACCCCACCCCACCCCACCCCCCGCAACCAAACCCGAAATGGCTGGCTCCCAGCCTCAATGTGCGCGGATGACCGCTCTTTGTGCGCGGATGACGCGGTTTCTCTGTGCGCAGATGACTCGTTTGCAATGTGCGCAGATGACTCGCTTTCAATGTGCGCAGATGACGCGTTGACCTCTTCGGAACCTCGGTTTTGGATCAACCAGGATCAACCTCCATCAGTGATATGGGGGTATCCAAAAATGGTATAGGTAATATTTTATATAATGGGAAATCCCAGCTTTAAATGGATGATTTGGAGGTACCCGTATTTCAGGAAACCACCCATAATATAATATAACATAATATAATATAATATAATATAATATTATAATATAATATAATATAATATAAAATAATAGTATATATAATAATATATATATATATATAATATAATATAAATAATATAATAAATATATATAATATAATATATATATAATATAATATATATATATATAATATAATATATATATATATATAATATAATATATATATTATAATATATATATAATATAATATATATAATATAATATATATAATATAATGTAAATAATATAATATATATAATATAATGTATATAATATAATAATATATATAATGTAATATAATATAATATAATATAATAAATATAATGTAATATAATATAATATATATTTAATATAATATATTTACAATATATAATAATATATATAATAAAATATATAATATAATATATATAATATAATATATGTATATATAATATCATATATTTATAATATAATATATTTAGAATATAATATATATTATATAATATATATAATATATTTATAATATAATATATTTATAATATAATATATTTATAATATAATATATTTATAATATAATATATTTATAATATAATATATATAATATGATATATATATAATATATTATATATAATATGATATATATATAATGTAATATATATAATAATAAATATATATATAATATAATATAAATAATATATTATTATATATATATTATATAATATATAGATATATATATATTATATTATATATATTATATTATATATTATATATATAATATAATATAATATAATATAATATAAATAATTTATTATAATATAGATATATAATATATTATAATATATATAATTTAATATAATATTTAATATAATGTATATAATATAATGTATATAATATATATATAATATAATATATATAATATAATATATATAATATATATATATATAATATTACAATATATATATATAATATATATAATATTATATATATAATATAATATATATAATATAATATATAATATAATATATAATATAATATATATATATCAGTTGCATTCCGATCGATGTCTTGGATTATCTTTGGATGATCTTTGGATGATGTGCTCTGCAAAGGTCGAAGGACGCAAAGAGCTTGCAGGTTTGCTTGCTATCAGCCGCTCAGGACAAGGCCAGGAAGCACATCCTACACATCCCTACAGCGGTTGGGTCATCCAATATGCGATCCATAGAATGAGATGAAAAGTGATCCCTTAGGTCTTGCAAAACAAATGGGAGCCTTAGCCATGACTGGAGGCTTCAATCATGTTGTTAGATCCCGGAATTTGGCATCAGGGTTTTTTCAACCACACTCCTGGGATGGGATTAAGCCAGTAGAGATCTCTTCCCTCCAACGAACGTGGCGTAGTTTTAGATCTATTCAGGGTGGGGATCATAGTGGTGGTATTTCATGATCATCTTGGCTAGGTATATGTTTCTGTTTCAGGTTTGTTACAGCCCATGTTTGATGGTGAAGCCCTGAGCTGGGGATCTGGTGAAATCAGGTGGTGCCTCCTTCGTGTATGGAGGACTTGCGAAGAGTTGGGTGACTTGGCCGCGAAAACTGGAGATGGTTTTGGTCGTTCCCCAATGATAATGGGAAATTCCATATGGAAGCTATTGTTTTTTGCTATCTTGAACAAATCCAAGTTTTTTTTTGCTATGAAGATTACTAGTACAGATTAGAAGTCATAAGACAAGCATCATTTCTTTCTGGCAGTGTTAATGATTTGCGCCACTATGGACGATGACATTTTTTTGTTATCTTTGTGTGGGAATCTCTCACTTGTAAATACATGGATGGTAAGTACGAATGACAAGATATGTAACTTTTAAAAGGATTAAAACAGACTTAGCCTGATCCCCATTGTATGGATGGTTTTCCAACATTGCGATGCATTGCGGAATCGCGGAATCCCGTGGTCACGACAATCTTTTGCGCCTTTCGAAGGGTGTAGAGTTTCTGCGTTTGTCGACGGAGTCGCGGGTTCAACACATTGTGCGATACTTGAGTGGCATGTTATACCCTCTGGTAAACTAACATAACTATGGAAAATCACCATTTTCAATGGGTAAATCCACTATAAATGGGCCATTTTCAATAGCTATTTTGACATAACCAGAGGGTATCATATTTTGGCGGATGTTCATGGATGAACCTCCATCTGCCAACTATTCTTTGTATTTTCTGGGGTTCTGACCCAATGAAAAAACGCCCATCTATTGGGCTTCAAGATTGTCGATTGGAGTGTGACATGCATATATGTATATATATAATTATATACATAGAGTTGTCCCATTTCATCATGCACTACATTCCAGTACGTTTCATTACATTACAATGTATTATACTATTTCACTTTCACATCGCTCCGTTTCATTTCAGGACATAATGTATGATTATAATGAATTATACATGTAATATTTGTCAGAGAATTCCAAGTGTTTCACGTTGAGCGCAGATCCAGATTCCGCTCGCAAAGAAAGATGGTTTGGAGATAGAGATGATAGAGTCGGGCGTAGCCACCCCATCATTTTTATATCGAGTTGGTTACATGATGTTACAACCCAGTATATCATATGTCCGAATATGAGATTCCCATGATAGTTTTTCATCATGTTGAATCATGTTGAATCATGTTGAATCCCCAAGTCATTGATCAAGTCATTGCTGATCCAGGAAAAAATCATCATATCAACGATATCAAACCACCTTGTGCCGAGGCAAAAACATCGCAGTTTGGAGGTCTCTTTCCACAGTTTCCAAAGGCCGTGCCGGCTGGGCGATGGTTTTATAACATCGAGGTAAAACACCATCGGTGGTTAACAGTTTGCCAAAACAAAGACATCAATCAGTATTGATGAATCATTATCCATATACATTGATCAATATTGATCAGATGAATCAGTATTCATTGATTATCATAATATTTGAGCCCTTTGATCAATGTATACTGATTCAGTCGACATGAAAAAGACAGTTTTTTTTTCTCCACCGAACCAAGAAACAAAGATGGTGATCAACCCTGGAGGTTACCATAGCCCTTTTTTTGAGGCCAAACAAGTGGAGACCCCGGAGTTCAGTGTGACTGGACCCATCCAACTTGGGGTCCCTTGGGGTCGCTTGGGGTCCCTTGGGGTTCCTTGGGGTCGCTTGAGTCAGGGGCGATCACATGGGCACCTACCTTTTGGCGGGTGAGCACTACTGGCATTGTCTGAGACACTTTCTGGACGATGACCTCGATGGATCGGAGAAATGAGGATCAGCGACCAGGTCAACGATGATCAGTGAATATCCATGATATGGTTGTTATAGATGGTTATATATGGTTATTCTAATATATATATATACCACTATATATATATTATTATATTATATATATACACATTTGAATATACTGATGATCTTAGATGATGCTTTCAGCACCTCATATGATTAGTGTACATCAAAACCAAAGAAACGACCTAAGGTGAAAGATAGGAATCCAGTTTTTGTTGGGAGATGAGCCCAGATTCTACCCATATATGGTACCCTCGTGGCTGTATCATCTATAAACGGACCATTTTTATCCATGTTCCATAGCTATGTTGAATAACCAGGGGTTACATTTGCTTCCGAAAAGACCTAGGCTGCACATCAGTACCATAGCAGAGAATGATGGCGGCCTACCTCGAAATCCGGAGCGTATTCGTGGGTGATGGGCTCCTTGAAAGGGTTTCACCAAACAAAAAAGGCTATGAGTCAGCAGCCAAGAGTACAGGCACCAAACAAAGTGTATGTGAATGCAAAGTCACGTGCCATGAAAAGCTATTGGTTGCACTTAGTCACTAATTATACACCTCAACTTGAAATGGTGATCAAGTGTCACACCCGCGACATCCCAGGGTTTCAGGGTGCCGGATACCACACATCGGCACTGCTACTACAAATATGTGGTGAGTTTCATGGCAGATGCCATCTTGGGATCGATGTTGTGTGAGGCTCATTGAGGCTCTGATGGTAGATGATAGTTTTGGAGGTGGGAGGAAGATCAAAGACACAGATTGATGACTAGTAGGTGACCAACAAGTGAGGGAAAATACGGAGATCATAGCAAAGGAATGCAAAAGATACGAAAACGAGTTTTGATTTGACTTCAGATATAATAGATCAAAGATGATCAAAGTCTTTTTCAACTGCGCTGTATGGTAGCAATCTGAAACCACACTCAGATGATGGAGCCAGTCATAACATCACCATCCCAGGTAAAGTGGGTAAAACTTGGGCGTCTTTCATACCCTTTAGCATCGAGAAATGACACTGGGACAGCAGAGAGCAGATATCTTTAGAACAACTCTACGTCTAGAGTCGAAAGTATTTGTGTTCAATAAGACTTACAAATCATACTTAAGCTGGGAAGGGTCATGAGGTTTTTTCCATTCTGTAGACGGACAAGAATGAATTACTATGGATTCTGTATGGAATTGTGTATTTTTCATTGTTTTTGTTTTTTAATGTTAATAATTCTGATAAACAACTCTTGTATCTGTATTATGATATTTATACATTTTATTTAATTACACACAATGCTTATCTTCACAATTTGATCTCAACGGGCTCACGGAAATCTCAGAAACTGAGCTGAAGACCATGGGCTGGACAGCATGGCTGAAGAGCGGCCTTTTGCGAAAAACTGCGCCGAAAAAAACATGGAGTTGTTGGAAAGATCCGAAGTTTCGCAAGGTGAAATTGATTACTATATGGAACTATATATATATGGAATTAGAATTGTACTGCTGGAAATATATTGATGTTCTAAACCCCTGTCAGCTGATTCATTAATATCGCATTATACGGCCTTGTATTTATTAAAGGGATTCTCATCATCCATTGTGAGAGTTCCTACTGTTACTGCTCAGCTGTATACTGCAAAGGTAGAGCTCAGAAGCTTGAGGTGTAAGACCTAAGGCGGTATACCCGTATACCCTGGAAAACTTCGACACATGCAACATAAGAATACCTTCATGTCTCCTGATAGCACCTGAAATAGTACAGTACCCACTTATAAACCCTGTGATAATGCTTTATCTTTCTGTGTATAACATTGTATGACTGGTGTTATAGCCTACCGGCTATACCCAGATGCTCCAGCACCAACATTTATTTACCATCCTGTATATGAACTAACATAGATATGGAAAACCACCATGAAGATCATTATAGGGAAACCATCGATCCATGGATTTTCCATATCTATCTTGATAGGCCCCCCCTTCCGAGATTCCGAGAACATATAGTGACAATCTTAAGAATTCTTTGGTACATAGAAGCCCAAAAATTAGCTGTATCTAATTTAGTAACCCCCGTATCTATGTTATAACTGCCAAAAAAGAAAACAAACTGTTACCATCTGGTTATTTAACATAGCCATGGTATAGATGGCCCTAATCGAAATAGATGGTTTACCTATTACAATTGGTGGCTCTTTCCATGGCGAACTGTTAGTCATAACCAGAGGGCAATTCCCACGTGCCACACATGTGATAAATATCACATCCAACTGTCCTGGGATGGGCACGGTTAAATCATTAGGGATTTTTCCAACACGCTACCGCTTCGATCCGCGCCAGGAGAATGAGGATGGGAACGGCCTTGCCTTTCACCGACATGAACGAAATTGGCAGCGTCCCAAGTCAGGGACGGTGGAGATCTAGGGATCAGCGGAAATCAATGGAAATCATAAGATCCGATTTTACTAGGGATTAATGAATATTAATGATCATAACATCATCATCATAACATGATAATGGTTAATCCCTAAATCTCATAATGATGTTATGATCATAAATTGGTTGATCAGATTTTATAACCATTATTAACCATCATTGTCGGTTGTATATATATATATACATCAATTATACCCATTGTTAGCGATTGTTACAGCAACCCACTATTGTTGTTGATTTGCCCATTATTAACCATTATACACTCTTATTAACCATCATTAGGGATGTAGGGATCAGTGGATCTATTTGAAATGCTGGATGTTTTCATGATTTTCCGAAAGAAACCTTTGGGAATCAATTAAAATTTCTTGTGGTGAAGTGTTGTGAATGGGGAATTATTATTGTGGATCTCAATCAAAGGGGACTTGATGGGAGATGTATCAATTGGCTGAATATAAGGACCTCAATGGTCGTCGCTGTAGATGATGGTTTCTGTGAGATCATTGAGATCGTCCAAACACCACCACACATTTCAGGCAGGTGACTGATCACAATGGAGGCCATAGTTGAGAACGTCAAGATATTTTTTCAGCGATGACATATGGTCGTATGGTCGTTGTATGTCGTTGTGACGTGTGAAGAAAACATGGAGGCCATAGTTGAGAACGTCAAGATATTTTTTCAGCGATGACATATGGTCGTATGGTCGTTGTATGTCGTTGTGACGTGTGAAGAAAACATGAACCCATTGGGCCAATAATGTCGCGGTGTCTCGAAGTGTCCCAAGGCTGCTGCTTCTAACTGGCACCAAGAGATGGTGCGTCGACCAATGGGGCTGGTTTCGGGGCTGTTTTTGCTGGATCTGGATGGATGTCGTTGAAGAATTTTGCAGAACTAGTGTTGTCACATCATTTCCAAGCCCCTCTCTTGTGATTCTTGTGGCTTCGGTCCCTTCCCCCCGACCTTTGCCGGACGGAAACAAAGCATCGCCTGATAATTGTTGATGCACCCTGACACCTGTGCATATAAACAGGGGTCAGCTTTCATGCTTTGGAGTGGGGCATTCTTCCGGAGGGTTATCTACAAAACCAAGTGCAAGGTGAATGAGTCAAAGATGGCCGGCTGGGAAATCCTCCAACTAAATAGGCATCTATATGGAGGTTTCCCCAAATTTGATCAGTTTAGTATTGAACGCTATGGTTTTTGGGGATCCCCCATTTTAAGAAACATTTTTTTATCGGAAATTAATTTTGAATAATCTAGACATATCAGACATGTTTTTACTTACCATGTTTTCCCATTGCTGCGTTGCCAGAGGATATCGCCAGGTACTTCCACGGCGGTACCCCCGTCACTGCCCTGCAGCGCGTGTCCGAAGAAAGCCTGATCAAGGCGGAGGTCGGGGATGGTGGGGGGCGCATCCGGAGGTTTGTTCGGAACAGGAGGGTGATATTGTCATGTACCATCTGGTTATGACTAAGCCATAGGAAAATAGAGGTTTATAGCTGGGAAAACCATAGGAAAACCATAGGAAAATGGAGGTTATACCCATCTGGTTATGACATTCACAGTTTGCCATGGAAAGATCCACCATTTTTAAATATTTTTAATAGGTACACCATCTATTTCGATTGGGGCCATCGAAAAACCATGGCGAACTGTTAGTCATAACCAGAGGGTAGGTTTGTCCGAAAATCTTCCAAAATCCTACGGTTTATCATCATTCTTTGAATTAAGATGGCTGACCCATGCCATCCAGTAGCCATGTCTTGGGAAAGGGTGCACCACCAACAATTATATAGGGAATTTCATGATTTAATCATAATCACTAATCATTCAAAATTCAAGAATGACAACTTTCGAGATTGTAGTCAAAGATTTGGAGAATGGTTTCAATCATGCCAACCACCATTTTATCAAACCAAGAGGGACAACAAACACATTCATAGTATAGGATATAGGTAGGGGTTGTCTCTGTACGAACAATTTCCAAATGAATCTGGAAAGCTTCTGGAAAGTGTGACTGCAGTGCTTGGACTATTGCCCATCTACTTCTTGTTCATCTTATTCATAAGGACACACAATGGCATGATATAAATCATAAAATCATATAAAACATAAAATCATATAAACTCATAAACATGATAAAAATGATTAAAACTTCTTATCCAACCATTATCCTTCTCCTTCATTTAAATAATAACACATATAAAGAACGTTTTGAACATCGGGACGGAACTTTGGCAGTTGGTTCCTATCAGGTTGAGGCCGCTACCGCAGGCGGCTTTCCGGAGGGGCTCAAACTGGATAATTAATCAGTAATCTCCGAGAAGTATGGTTTATGATACTGATAACATCTTACAACTACAGTTCATGGGGTCTACAAACTAACATATAATGGGGGGCTGTCAGTAAAGCACCTTTGTTTCGATGAGGCTCCGGAAAGTCGTTCGTGATCTTTCCAAACGTCTGCTAGGTAGATGGTTGAATGGTGCTCTTGAGCTGCTTCAAAACTACGTCCAATGATCTGTTTTCCAAAATAATGAGATAAACTGTGTTCAACACGTGAATCAAGATAACATGTCCAAGATGTCTTCCAAAACTCTTTTCCAAACTGACTAATTTTTTGTCGACTTACCTACACAAAAAACGTGTCTTATAAGCCATGTACTAACTGGGATGACCGTTGGTGGTCGCTAGGTGAGCTCCAAAGTCACGAGCAAAAACCTGGCGAATGCATGCTGATTCCGGATGGATACTGGTCGGGGGGGATGGGTGATTATTACCCTCTGGTAATTTAACATAGCTATTGAAAATGACCATTTATAGTGGTTTTTCCCATTAAAAATGGTGATTTTCCATAGTTATGTTAGTTTACCAGAGGGTATTATGGGAAATGTTGGGAGAAACCTAGTGAAACCATCTCCAGTTTGATTTCTTGGTGGCCAGTATATGATGATAACTACATAAGTCCAAGTAACAGTTTCCCGCCGGGAGATGGAACATCCTCAAAGATTGAGAACGGTCTTGAAGGCTTTGTTATTTATATGATATATATATATATATTATGTATTTGGTATTAGAGTATTCCTTAATCAGGCATTTCTTTGAACTAACACCCAAAGATTGATCCGTAAAATATGGTCCATGCCGACTCACCGATAGTTTCTAAATTCTGTAAGCCCAACTGTAGAACTCGAGATATCCGCCATCCAGCAGATAGCCAGTTACGTCCAATGGTCCAGGCATTGCACCTACAATGACCCTGCCGAACAAGACATGACCTTTGGTGTGGGTGGTATGGGCAGGACCGCTGGGGATGTTGGCTTGGGAGAGGCGAGGAGAATCTCCCCCGCGGCGAAGACATGATCCTCCACCAGACACATATTCCATCATATTCCCATGATTTATATATGAATGGGATGATGGTTAATAGATGTTGAATGATGTTGATTGTTATCATGGATCATTATCATGGATCCTTTTCTATTCCCTACTAAGCATCATTGTGTTGATTATGGTTGATTATAACTATGGTTGCTTGTAGTTGATTATTGCAGTTGATTCTTAAGAATATGAAGTCCCAATAATGTTGATATTCTATATAGATTGATATCCATCCCAATATAGTCCATGAATCCCCAACTATATAATATAATATATATATACACGTATTAACCATGTGGT